TTGTGCTCCTCGTAAATAGCTGACATCATAGCAGCTGCAAGATAGAAATAAAATTAATATCCAGACTGCAAGTGAAGCGGCATGTGTCAGAAATATGAAAAGAAAATAAGTCTTCATACCAGTGGGAGGTAGAATGTTCTTTACGAAAATAAATATAGCCTTCTCAGCACTGAGCTTTATCCTCTTGCGGACAACATAGACAAACTGCCCCACAGTTAGATCAGCTGGTACAAGATACCTGCAAGTAGCAATATGATGCAAGTTTAAACATCAGAATCAAAGAGAGTCTAAAATCACCGCAACAGAGGCATACATCACAGATTAACACGGTATATATTAGCAGGAACAGGGTATCTGCAAGTATGATGTAAACATGGCAACAGAAGCAGACAGCTTCTTCAACATACAGTCATACACACATCACATACTTGACTTCTCCATTTAAACAACTCTTTATCTCTAAAATTGTAACATCTTTATCAAGTGTATATTATGGCATAAAACTAAACCAGTAAAGTAAAAATTAATTTTGTACCATTTATAGAGTATATAAAGCCTTTTAAGATAGAACCCCAAGTAACTGCATTAAAGGGTTATAAAGAACATAAAAGCATGCACATTCTAGTCATTTTTAAGGGAGAATAAGTAGTAGACAATGCTTTGGCTCTACCTTGACATCGACAACTTAGGTAATGTAAGCAAGAAGATGTAAACTCTCAAAAATTAAAGAATTGCAACTTAGCTGATACTCTGAAAGTGAGAAAGGCTAGACCGGACAGAAAAGTACTATTTAAATAAAAGTAAAATTTAAATTGCTTTCCATTCCAGATTTTCAATAGAACATCCAGAAAGTGTACTCCCTAGCTTAAAAGGAGAAAAGGACAGGCCCACATAGCATCAAGTGCTGCCCTTCGACACAAAATACACTTACTGAGCAGCCAAGAGGAACAGCTCTATAATAATGTCTTGCACAGCCACAGATAAGGAACCCCTGATCTAATTATAGAATAAAATGACACCACCAATAAAGTCATATTAAGCTCAATATCATGCAAAGAAAAAGAAGACAAAAGTACAGTATCAAGGGTCACTGCTGAACTATATTTGACATGCAAATTAAGATTAAGACATAGCATACACTTCAACTGCAATAAATTCATATGAAGCATGAAATGCATTCACATTATCTAGAAAGTACTCCACTAAGCGTATACATGCATACAGAGAGAGATGACTAACTTCTTCTTGTCAATGTCAGGAATGTCACTTTTTTCAGCCTTCTCTACAATAACCTACACAAAACAAGGCAATAAATAAAAATGATCAGCAACTATGAAACATAAAGCATGATTTAGGATATCTCTCAATCATGATTTGAAAGAATCATTCCAATCTAAAGTGTGTAGTTAATTAGAAAAAACTATCATACAGGAATTCTGTCAGGATACTTCTCCCTGATACGAGCAGCTTCAGCTTGTCTTCGCTCTGTCAAAAAGAAATTTTAGAAATTAAAAAATTAATACCTTTGACAACTATGTTGCACAAAGCTAACACAACTACAATGTATACTGCTGAATTTCAATTATAGGTCATCAAACATACCAAGTATTTATAACAGTAATTACACAATTAAACATTGAACATATACTTTGAAGGACCAGAAATTCGACACCACATGCTATTAGCTCTTAGCAGTTCCTATTCACCAGAATACTACACATTTCACACATCAAGCCGTGCTTCGACATCAAGTTCATCCATCACACCCATTAAAAAACATGTACTACTATTGACAATTTCAATCACGTATACATAGTATCCCCATTGATCAATACACCATCCCAAACACAGCCCTAACCCTTACATACGTAAATTTTAGAACAAAAAAGACCAAGTAACATTCGGTATTCTATCCAAATTGAATATCATAAACATTGAAGACAATCAAAGAACAAAAGGAAAACCAAACACACGGTGTACAATTTTCTCATCCTCACATTTTAAAGGATCATACAATTGAACACTTGATTACCAAAAAGTGAAAAACAAATTGATCGACACCAATAAACCAGCATCACATCCACATCATAATAATCATAAAATATAATCTATTTGATCAACAATTCAATAAAATCCCATAATTTTTAACAATTAACAATCATTCAGCGAAAACAGAAGACATAGCAACAACTATATATACAAATATCATGGATAAATTCAACGCTATTTCAATCATCACAGACATCAGATCGTATAAAAAACAATCAAGAACAAATTTCAAAATAAAAATCACAATTAAAATTTCTCAAATTATCAATTACGCAACATATTAATGAAATCATCAATTACGCAACACATTAATCAACGAAAGAACGGTGAAAGATATCGAGTAATTTACCAAGAGGATGTTGAAGTTTGAAACAACTCTTCGACATGATGATCAGATTCTTAAAACCAATCCGCTACAAATTCTGCCAAAAATCAAAAACGAAATCGATAAATTAGGGTTTCAAAATTATGCTGGTAATCCAAAATTATCTCCCAAGAAAACAAAAATCCGATTAAAGAAGGCGAAAAAGTAAAATCGAAGAACTTACGAGAGATGATGAAGAAGATCGGGCACAAATTAGAGAGAGAAATCTCAGAAATCGAGAAATTGAAGAGAGAGAAAGAAGAGTTGCTTGTGGTTTTAGGAGAGAGAATGAATGTGGAGTCCTACTAATCCAGAAGTTTGCGTATAAATCCAGTAAAATTCATAGGCAACTCAATATTTTAACCAAGTCCTACTAGAACCGAAAGACTATTATTGGGTTAACAATGGTCATTGGCCAATTTATTTTAGCCCAATCAAATGATATAGGGCTTAATCCTATACAACGGGTCAACGGTTGTGTCACCCGATAAAATTGATGCATATGCGATTACTTAAATCTAACTAATCTGATTTTAAATCAAAAGTTTGATTGAAATTAATTGACATGAACACATGATTTTACCCGACCTGACTTAGTTTTATCAACATAAGCACTTTGACGATAAAATTAAAAATTGACATAGTTTGAAATCAATCCAAATAAGTTTAACTGAAAATAACCTGATTTAAAACCGAGAACAATCTGATTGTCACCCTTTAATGGACATTACTACGTTCTTGGATTGAGGGAAATGTATTACTTTGAAATAAGGATTAGAATATTTTTTTTAAGGTAAATATTTTTTTGGGTTTTTCTATACATTGCCTCTGAGGTATTGACTTTTTCAAGCTGCACCCACCCATTTTCAAAATTCCACACTGTAACCCTAAGGTCTCTTTAGTGTCTACGATGTAACCTACCCTAATCCCTCCGTTAACTTAAGTTAACTTTCCGTTAACTTCAAATTAAAGAAAATTAAAAAAAACAAAAAAAAAAAACCCAAACACCTCTATCTCCTCCATCACAACCACTCACCACTACACTACACCTCCAACCGCACCACCGCCGCACCCCCCAGCCGCACCACCGAGCTGCGCTCCTCTTTCCTCGACCCACCACCTATGAGGCCGAGTCGGTGAGCAATGAACTCGTCGTTAAGAACGAAGGAATTCACTTCGATTTCGACGAGATCGACGGCGACGGGTGGGAAATTCGGCGATCGTAACGCGGCGAAGTGCATTGGCGATGCTGGAATCGGTTTTCTTAAGCTCGAATTTCATGAAATCATCTCGATTTTTGGATTTTTGGGACGAATTTCGCCCAAAACCATCGAAAACCCTCGCCCAAATTCAATCGATTATACCATGAGATTAGGAATTCTGAGTTTTGTTTTGTACTAGATGGATTATTTGATTTAAAATTCTCGACTTTGATTTGGAATTTGGATTTTTGTAGGATGAGGCGTGGCTGGGGGGAGGGCTGGCCAAAACGGCTGAAAGAGAGGGGAAGGAGTGGCCAGAAAAGGGCGGTCAGGGCGAAGGGGGAGGGAGTGGCCGGAAATGGGGACTGCGGTTGGAGGTTGTGATGGAGGAGAGAGAGGTGGGGTAATGGTGCGGTTGGAGGTGTAGTGGTGGGTGGTTGTGATGGAGGAGAGAGAGGTTACATCGTAGTCACTAAAGAGATCTTAGGGGTACAGTGTGGAATTTTAAAAATGGGTGGACACAGCTTGGAAAAGTCAATACCTCAGGAGCACTGTATAGAATAACCCTATTTTTTTTTCTAATTAATGAACATTTCTTGTACTCCTAGTTTTTTTTTTTTTTTTTTTTTTTTTTTTCCTTTCTAGTTAGGATTTCCCAGTGGGCATTGGCCCATCCAGTTTGAACCACCCAAATCACACAAGACCAGGCCCAACTTTTTGTGATGGATTTTGTGTATGCTGCCCTAGTTTGTGGGCTGTTTTTTCTCAAAAAAAAAAAAAAAAAAAGAAAAAAAATTTGTGGGCTGTTTTTTTGCATGATCATTAAGTATGTATTACTACATAGCCCAAAAAATTGTAGTTGAAACAATTGTAGTTGCACATTTGCAAACCTTGCCTTTTAATAAGTTCAGACGAAGAAGTTTTTAAATAATGGTATGATTTACAATAAAATTAGTTGAAAATAAAGCCCTAACTTCAAGCATTGATAAGTATTTAAGAATGGTTACAATTTGATGAAGTGTTTGACTAATAACTTTATAAGAGTTATGTTCAGCCATAATGATTAGTCAATTACATTCTGTTGTTTATTTAAAACGTTTAGCATTTTTTGTTGATTATGTTTTGTTCTTAAAAAACTTATCCTTATATGGAAAGCATTGTATCAGTCAGTGTATGCGCCAATTTAAATCTACACATCCTTTGATATACCATACTTGATTCCGAAATAAATATACAATGTAACTACAAATCATATTATTACATAAAGCAAAACACTATAATAGTATGGTCTAAGCTCAGCGATCAATGCTAAAACCAGGCATCGATCAATTTAGTCTTTGAGGCGGCGATAAGCATGTCAAATTTCACACCAATACACGAGGATATATAAAACCAAAGTTAAAAACATAATATCATATATAGATAACCTTTAAATCGCTAATCTAAAGGGCATCAAAAGATTACAAAACGAAAGAGTAATTAGTTGAGAGCATTAACTAAATCAAGTCCTTTCTACTTCATCTAACTGAGTATTAATAAATGGAGGATCAAACATAGAGAAAGCCCTAAAAGCAGAGATGACAGCCAAAAAAAGGAAGCAAAAAAGAGCTAAAAAATGAAGAATGACAGCAATTTTCAAATTAGTGCAGAATTTCCCATATGCACTGCAAGCTTCACTCCATGAAACTTCAATATCACCTTTGTATGCTAAGTACATTATCTCTGCTCCTGCTGTTCCTGATGTCACCATCAAGTAGGCCATCACCTGATGATTTGTCAAACAAAATTCAAATTAATCAATGTGAACATTTTTGGATTTTTACACTTTTTTTTGTGATGTGAAAATTGCCAATTTTTCATAACAAGGAAGGAGATTTAGAAGCTTGTGTGAATAGCAAAATTTAAACTTTATGTTGATGATTGTGAGTACATAGTATTTTCTCTTCTAGAACACATAAATGCAACTCTAATCAATAGAACTTCGCCTATTTTTAAACTCATATCATGAGAACAAGTTTATGGATTTCCACTTTTCACTAACGAAATTCATGTAAATTATTAAATGCACTGGAGAATATGTGCTTGTTAGGCAATACTCCATGTAATGAAGTTCATCTATTTTTGTTAGATAATATGTTAATATTATCTTGTGAATATTCTGTGATATATATCTTGTGTAATTTAGTTATCTCATGACTAGGTTGTAAATCCTATAAATATTGATTAATGAGAAAGCCTCCAATCAAGGAGAATTACACTATTCTACATGGTATCGGATTCTAATTAGGGTTTCCCCTCCCTCTCACACCCTAAACACGATCCTAGGCCTCTAGCCGTCCTCATCCACACTCGGCCAACCTCCTCCTTCGCCCTCCATGGCCGGTGATGACACTCCCCCACCAACTCCCCCTCCTCCCCCTCTAACAATTTCCACCCTGCGTATGCCGCAACCAACATCAAAAACCTCATGACTGTCACTCTTGATCAACAAGAAGCGCACTATACCACCTGGGTAAATTATTATCAAGAGAAAAAGTTCATAAATTTCCACTTTTCAATAAGGAAATCAGGTAAATTATTAGGTGCACTTGAAAGTATGTGCTTGTTAGGCAATACGCCATATAACAAATAACGGACATATAAAGCTCACTTTTATTTGACTCATATATTTTTTTCGTTATTTAAATACACATTTACTCTCGAGTGCACCTAATTAGTACTAATACTACTCTCTAAGCATAATATATGAAGAATAATTTAGCAAGCTTAAAAAGTTACAACTGTTGTGACTCTTATTATTACTTTCTTAAACATAGTCCCACATATTAATTAGTTAAGCTAATTTAATTTTACAACAAGCCAAAAAGGATTATGCATTAACTATTCTATACATTACAATACATACAGTTTTTTTAGATTTGGCAACAAGATTTATACTGTTATATACACTTATACATTTCATAATGTCCAATGCAAGTTCATATTTCCAGAAAAATAAGGGGCAAATATTTCAACGAAATTCAAGAAAACCCAGAAATTTATATACTATGAATGAGAAACAAACCTGATCAGAGATAAAGAAAACCCAAGCTTTGTTAACTAAACAACTAATCCAAGTTGAAATTGCAGCAATTAGTGCATACCCTGCAGCAATGGCAGCAACAGCAACCATGTACCTTTCAAAAGAAAATAAAAATCAAATTAGATTAGTAAACAATAAATTAACTAAAATGTTGAATGAAATTAACATAAATAAAGATGAATTAAGCAAAAAAAAATTACTTGAGTCCTGAGAAATTGAGGAATTTAATGCTTCCATAATCAGGATTGTCTTCATTGGTGTTAATAGTGAGACATAAAGAAGCAATACTAAGAGGAATAACAGAAATTCTAAGGGAAAAATCTAAAAGTTTTAATCTTGGGATTGATTTGTTTGAGCTTGAAATTTGGGTATGATTTTGGTTATTCATGGCTGAAAAATATGAACTTTTAATGTAAAAAGGATTTTAAAAGTTGTGGATTGTGGGAATTTAAGAAGGTATAGTTTGGAGTTTAGTGGAGTAAGAAAAGAGTTTCTTTATTTTGTCATGTGATGGAATGATTGTCTTTTTTAGGAAGGTGGATTAGTGAGAAACCTTAACAATTTGTAACAATATTTTCTCCATTTTCTTTTAACAATATAACTTTAAGGTAAAATTTTATCAAAATACTTTTTAACTCGGAAATAAAAAAAGTTATATTAATCCGTTTATTCAATTAATCCGTTTATATTATTAACTCATGTATTATTATAATTCTTGATATACGACTATACAAGAGTAAATTTGTGACATTTTGGTTATTTTTATGATATGAAGAAAATCTGAAGAGTTATATAAATTAAAAAGAAATGGAACAAAGATGGTTAGATAAATGTAACTTTTGTCCCAACCTTTGTTAATAAGATAATGTATTATAAGGTTTGAACTCTCATGGAAAAGTTAAAGGTTCACCTAACGAGTTCATGGAGTGAATATTAGTGTGGTGGTTGGTGATGGGACTTCAGGGACATGTGTTGCATTCTTATAAGAGCCCAGGAGTTTAAATTAGCATGCTAAACCTATACGATTGTAGTTTGCAAAATGTTTTGAGAGGTCCAAAATAAAAAGGTCTTTCTTAAATTTAGATGAAGTTTAAAGTAATCTTACTTGACATTAAAGTCAATAGTAAATAGATTTTGATCATTTTTTTTTAACAAATATAATGTGTATTCTCAAAAATCCACTATCTGATTCCTAAGCAAGGTTCCATCCTATAACTAATTGACAGTAAGAGGAGTAGACCGTTTGGGGTTATAAATCTTTCCTTTACTTTTCAATAAGAGGAGTAAACCGTTTGGGTCAGAAAAACAATACTCACACAAGCTCTTTTGCCTTGGGGAATAGAGACTGTTAAAAATAATTGAAGTAAATTATTTAAAACAGAAGGAATAAATATTTAATTTGTGAAATGTTGTAATGCTAAAGAAACCTTTTTTGTATATTCGTAGAGTCGTTGTCTAATCTAAACTCTAAACTATGGAATATCGGTTTATGTGTATAAGATAAATCACCTGTTGAAAAAAATAAAAAAAATATAAAAAAAACATCAAATGTAGTGAATAGGTGATGTGATTAACATTTGCCTCTTAAAGTTGAGAAGGCTGATTGGTTTAGGGTTGAGGTGAAGGAGTTTTTAGTGTGTAGTGTCTCACATGTATGATCATTGCATATATGCATTCAATATGAACTTACAAGAATTTAACACAATTGCTATACTTCAATTCATATATAACTATATAAGTTGAGAGAAAACATTTTAATTGTTTGATGAGTGATAAATGTACAACCGACGATAAATTATACTCCGTAGAACTACTAAAAAATGATTCCGAGTAGTATTGTTAATACGTTATTCATCGAATTATATTCTCAACTTAAAACGAACGTATTATAGATTGTTGTGTTAAGCTTAGACGATCATTCCATCACTTTTCAAGTGAGATGCTGTATATTTCGAGTTTTGATTAACACATACTCTAGTCTACTAGACAATCGGACCTAGCTCTTAACTTTTTATGGACAATAAGGAAATAGATCCAACTTATAAGGTTGCCAAACTCTTGAACTAACATCCAAAACTACAAAAGCCCAAACTAGCTCTACTAAGTGTAAATGATAAGCTTATTCAGCCTATCAAAAGTATGGCTTTTTGGACAAAGTTGTTATTGAGTCCTCAAAAGTGAAAACACAAGCTTGCATAAGATACCAAGTAATAAGGCACATATAATTGAGTCTGATAGATACTCCGTATTATAGTTATGATAATGTTCGTCGCAGATTAGGATAATATTTGTATCATTATCGTACTAGGATTACGAGACTTGTAAAACTCTATATATATTGATCTATGGTACACACTCCAGATTGAGGAGTTTTTCCAAAATCCAACAAAGTCAATTGACTGAATCAATTCAACTTTAGGTTGAGCAAAAGAATCCAATAAACGGGATTTTATTCGAAAAAATATCTTCAACTTTGTCTAAAAAACCACCGAAATAGTTTATGTATGTCAAGAATATCAAGAAACGCGTCTCAAATATGATTGGTTTTCCTGCATATTGCCGTGATGGGTTTATCCAACCTCGGTGGGAGTGAGATGAAAGTTGGGGAATGCTAATAAGGACCAATCCCCATTATTGGCAAAGTTAGCAACTTTAATGAAAAAAGTTTAGACAGGAGTAAAGATTAGGATATAGGGCATAATGTCCTCATCTAATAATGATGAAAGCTAACCAATTACTTGAATTTACAGCTAAAAAGAAGGCTAATTTTTTGCAAAGGAAAAAAAAAAATGCTTTATTAAGGATATAAGGGATACTTATTGTGTTACTATCAGCATTTAAAGAATATTGGGGGCTTGCAAGAAGCAACCCTCGCGCTTCTTTCTGTGTTCATCCATAAGAACTCTTTCTGCTTCTCTCCTAATCTATAAAATGGAGAGCAGATCAGAATCGTACTCTATAACATCCTCTCTCGCTCTCGCTCTCCCTCCCTCTCGCTATCTGCTTCTCTCTGTAACATCTCTCACACTCACTTTACACATCTACAAAATCTACATACAGTGGTATTAGCTACATTGATCAATCTACTAAAAACACTTGATCAAAATCCTCCTGAGGTTGGAAGAATCTTATCGTCGTATAATCAAAAAGTGGCACTCCATAAGGCATTCTCTCCTTCTCCACAACGCCGATGGACCTCTTTCATCCTCTCAACTGACCTGCAAACTCCACTGCATGTCCAGTCGAATGATGCAACACAGACGTTTCCTGCCTGAGCTTTCCACTCGCAATCTGGTATGAAAAAAAATATATTCAGTATTTGATAGACAGTTTAGTGATCTTACACGTTAGAATTTACAGAAGTATTGACAGTTTTCCCTTTTTGGTCATTTTTCAATACTTAAGCATGCAGCTAACAAATCAGTATTCAGGAACAAAGAAACAAGCTCAAAAGAGTTATACTTGTAGAATTTTATACTTAAAAAGTGCAAGTACATGGCTTTCATGATGCAATCGCTAATGGTTTCAACTTCTTATTTTTAAGGAAGAGGAAGCTCGGATTGTAAAGTTAAGTTTCCCTACTCGCAGAAGATATACTTAAAGACTGTGGCCGAAAACAAAATGATGCACAAACACAGAATTGAAACTCGATTTACTTAGCACTTATGCTCTCTATTCCACCATTTTTCCATTTATCTTCTCATTTTAGGTCATATATCAATCATCACTACTAAAAATTCTTGGGCAACTTAGAAACTTAGAATCCTGGCCCAAAATGATGAAAGAAGAAATTACCGGGATGAGTGCCACAACATAATCTGCGATCATCAATGTGCTCTACATCCAAGCCAATAAACCAAGCACCCAATGAGACATCCTCATTGGCATACTTGTGTAGCACATGCCTGAAATTTCAAATGCAACAGATATATAAGAGATGATTCATTATTCAAAATAGCTGAAATTTGTTATCATTAGAGAAGATTGATTCAGCACTCACTGATTGATAGCTATATAATTTGCCAAATCTTTTGAAATGGCATACAGTTGCCCTGTAGCATGACGGAAGTATCTGTTTCCATCATCTCCAAACTTCCAATGCTCTGGTTCGTGGTACCTCACTCCCCTGCTCGTAAATGGAAGAGCATAAGTAAATATAATGAGAATTGAACAAGTAGTAAGCTGAGAGTCTAAGTAAAAAGAAACGTACTTTTGAGCGAGGACAGGACCAGATTTCATACACCCTAAGTAAACCCGAGGCTTTGAACGATGCCTAACTAAGGTTGATCCTAAAGTAGCTGCAATTCATCACAGAAAGAAAAGCCCAAGATATTAGACCAAGAGTATCAAATAATATAGCAAATAACAGGTGATAGCACTCTCCGGAGTATATTGAGAATTGGTTAAAATGTTAAATAAAAGATGTGTGTAAAAAGGAGCATCCAAGCATGTTTTGAGCTTTCAAAAATACAATTATTCGTAAAAGAGAAAAATGGAAAATAACATATGAACTTCATAGAAGCTCTATTAGTCTATTTCCCTTAAACAGGAATACTTGAAAATTAATCCAAGATAAAGGTTTTTGATTTTACCTATATTTACATGTACATCATCATCAACCTTAACATAGAAGTCAGCATCCCACATAGCTGCTGCAGTGGCAAAATATATTTTTGTCTTCGCTGACAATTCTAGATACCCTTCAACATGTTCCTGCTCCGATATAATATGAACTCAGTCAGATCTTAATAAGTGGAGCAATTACAAGATGGACAAATTTTAATTACGTTTAGAAAAATATATATGAGTCTACTTGTAATCAATCAACTTACCAGCCTTAAGAAGTCTCCGTGCTTTTGATCCTCAGCCTCAACAGCTTTATCTAGAATACCTCCTGCTGTAGCACTGGAACAAGTAACAAATCATAAGGTAGGGAGCTAAGAACTACACTGACAAATTTTTTTCAAATAAAAAAAAAAGTTCAGATTAGAAGAAAAAACAAGTCCAGAACAAGGCCAAAAGGTACAGATAAGGGCTACCCAAGTTCAATTCAAATACTATAAAAAAGTTCGGATTAGGTCAATATGTTCGATATAATTTTAGATAAAAGGCTAACAAGTTCAGATAAATTCAGTTAAAAAAGATTAGCCTGAGTTTTCTCTAAGCTTCAATAACTCTTATGTCACTGATTAAAAGTGTTTGCAGGTATGCTTTTAACATTCAAGTAGGCATATAATGGGGAGAAGCACATGTTCTTACTCCACTGACAGTTAGCACTCCTACATCTAACCTTCCAGAATCACCAAGTTGTTATTGATCAAGTCACTCGACATTAATAAGTTAAAAGGATTTCAGAAGCCTTTCTGGCTGCTATATTTCTACAGCAGTGTCTTGCCTTGATGCAAACATTAATAGTTGAACTGTCGCTCCAATTTGTATCTGTTCTTTTCTTTCTATAAAAGGTAAGGAAAGACTCTGGTCCTAGCCAATGCAAGGCACAAATCAGGGAGTAAGGCCAAAGAAAGAGAGGTGGGCTAGAGTGCAAACAACAGGAATG